AAACCAAATGATCCAATAAAAAATGAGCAGATGACGTGAACAGACATTTCTCCAAAGAAGACATCTGAATGGCCAACAGACACATGAAAAGATGCTCAACATCACTCATCATCAGGGAAATGCAAATCAAAACCACAATGAGATATCACCTCACACCTGTCAGAATGGCAGAAATCAAAAACACAAGAAACAAGTATTGGCAAGGATGTGAGAAAAAGGAACCCTCGTGCTCCACTGGTGAGAATGTAAACTGGTGCGGCTACTGTGGAAAACAATGTGGAGGTTCCTCAAAAAATTAAAAATAGAACTACCTTATGATCCAGTAAGTCCACTATTGGGTATTTACCCAAAGAATATGAAAACACTAATTTGAAAAGATATATGCACCCCTGTACTTAATGTATCATTATTTATAATAGCCAAATTATGGAAATGGCCCAAGTGTCCATCAATGGATGAATGGATAAAGAAGATGTAGTATATATATACATACAATAGAATATTATTCAGCCATAAAAAAGAATGAAATCTTGCCATTTGTGACAACATGGATAGATCTATAGGATATAATGCTAAGTGAAATATGTCAGAGAAGATAAACACCACATGATTTCACTCATATGAAAATTTAGGAAACAAAACAAACAAAAAAAAGACAAAATGAATAAACAAACTCTTAATTATAGAGAACAAACTGATGGTTATGAGAGGGGAGGTGGATGGGGAGATGGGTGAAGTAAGTGAAGGGGATTAAGAGCACACTTACTGGGGCACCTGGGTGGCTCAGTCAGTTAAGCGTCTGCCTTCTGCTCAGGTCATGATCTCAGGGTCCTGGGATTGATTGAGTCCTACATCAGGCTCCCTGCTTAGCAGGGAGCCTGCTTCTTCCTCTCCCTCTACCCCTCCCTCCCCACTCATGTTATTCAGTCTGCTTTCTTTCTCATTCAAATAAATAAAAATAAAAAATCTTAAAAAAAAAAGGACACTTATGATGAGCACTGAGTAATGTGTGGAATTGCTGAATCACTATATTGTACACCTGAAACTAATATAACACTGTATGTTAACTATACTGGGATTAAAATTTTAGAGAGAGCGAGAAATTAAGAAAACAACCCTATTATAATAGTAATAAAAAGAATAAAATACTTTGAATAAATTTAACAAAGAAGGGGTGCCTGGGTGACTTAGTGTCTGCCTTCAGCTCTGGTTATGATCCCAGGGTTCTGGGATCGAGCCCCTCATTGGGCTCCATGCTCTTTGGGGAGCCTGCTTCTCCCTCTCTCTCTGTTGCTCCCCCTGCTTGTGCTCACTTGCTGTCAAATAATTAAATAAAATCTTTAAAAAAAAATTTAACCAAGGAGGTGAAAATTTGTACACTGAAAACTTTAAGACTCTGATAAAGAAACTGAAGTGAATAAAGTGAAAAGATACTTCATGTTCACGGGTCAAAAGATTTAATATTGTTAAAATCCATAAAGCCATTTTAGATTCATTGCAATCCCTATCAAAATTCCAGTGGCATTCTTCACAGAAAAAGAAAAAACAATCCTAAAATTTGTGTGGAACCACATAAGATCTCAAAGAGCCAAAGTGATCCTGAGAAAGAACAATACTGGAGGCATCATACTTCCCGGTTTCAAACTATACTACAAAGCTATAGTAATTACACAGTATGGTACTGGTATAAAAATAGGCACATAGACCAACATAACAGAATCAAGAGCCTAGAAATAAACCCTTGCATATAAGGTCAACCAATATTTGACAAGAGAGCCAAGAATACTCAATGAGGAAACAATAGTCTCTGGGAAAATTGGATAATCACATGTAGAAGAATGAACTGAACACCTATCTTACACCACTCAGAAAATTAGCTCAAAATGCAGTAAAGACTTAAACGTAAGGGTGCCTGGGTGGCTCAACTGGTTAAGCCTCCAACTCTTGATCTCAGCTCAGGTCTTGATCTCAGGGTTGTGAGTTCAAGCCCTGCATTAAGCTCCACACTGGGCATGGAGCCTACTTAAAAAAAAAAAGGACTTAAACATAAGACCTGAAACCATGTAACTGCTAAAAGATAACATAGAGAAAAAACTCTTTGACATTGGTCTTGACACTGATATTTTGGATATAACATCAAAATCACAAGCAATGAAGGCAAAAATAAGTGGGACTACATCAAACTGAAAACCTTCTGTCGAGCAAAAGAAGCAATCAACAAAATGAAAAGGTAACTTACTAAATGGGAGAAAATATCTGTAAACTATCTATTTGATAAGGAGTTAATATCCAAAATATATAAGGAACCCAAAGAACTCAATAGCAGAAAAAAATCCAATTAAAAAATGGACAGAGGACCTGAATAGACATTTTTCCAAACAAGACACAAATAGCCAAAAGGCACATGAAAAGGTGCTCAACATCACTAATCAGGGAAATACAAATCAAAACTACAATGAGATATCACCTCACATCCATTAGAATGGGCTATTATCCAAAAGACAAGAGATAACAAATCCTGGCAAGTACAGGGACAACAGGGAAACCTGGTACACTGTTGGGGGGAATGTAAATTGCTACAGCTACTATGGAAAACAGTACAGAAGTGCCTTAAAAATTAAAATGGAACTACCATATCATCCGAGCAATCCCACTTGTGGGTATATATCCAAAGGAAATGAAATCACAATTTTGAGATATCTGCACTGCCATGTTCACTGCAGCATTATTCACAATAGCCAATATATGGAAATAACCTAAATGTCCAATAACAGATGAACAGATAAAGAAGATGTAGAGTGTGTAGGGGAATGTGTGTGTATGAGTGTGTGTGTGTGTGTAAAGTATATTATTCACCCATGGTAAAGAAGGAAATCCTGGCATTTGTGACAAGACAGATGGACCTCGAAGGCATTATGCTAAGTGAAATAAGTCAAAGAAAGACAAATACTGTATTCTATCACTCACATGTGAAATCTTTTTGAAAAAGCTAAATCCTTTGAAACAGAGAGTAGAATGGTGATTGCTAGAGGCTGAATGAGGGAAATGGGGAGATGGTGGTCAAAGGGTACAAACTTCCCATGAGAAGATGAAGTAATCCTGGAGATCTACTGCACAGCATGGCAACTACAGTTAACAATACTGTATTATATACTTGAAAGTTGCTAAGAGAGTAAACATTAAACATTCTCATCCCCCCCCTCATATACACATAATCCTGTGAGGTGAAGGACGTATTAACTAACCTTACTATGGTAATTATTTCACAATATATATGTATCAAATCATCACACTGTACACCTTAAATTTATATATTATATATCAATTATATCTCAATAAAGCTGGAAAAATTTTTTTAAAAAAGAACAGAAAGATAAAGCTGTCTATATCAAACAGTAAAAGGGAAGAGAAATATCTTTTCTACAAAAGAAGTAGATATGTTTTATCTATTGCAAACTTACAAATATAAAAATATAAGGAAAAATGTAAACAATTCAGGAGATGCTACTGTAAGCAATAACTAAAATATACATATACATATAAAGGAAAATCTTGAGAAGATTAAAGATTATGATCAGTACAGCTTTAAAAAAGGCAGAGGGGTGCCTGGGTGGCTCAGTTGGTTGAGCATCAGACTCTTGATTTTGGCTTGGGTCATGATCTCAGGGTCGTGGGATTGAGCCCCACATTGGGCTCTGCACTCAACACGGGAGTCAGCCTGAGATTTTCTCTCTCCCTTTGCCCCTGCCCCCCACTCACTCACTCTCTCACATTCTCTCTAATAAATAATTTTTAAAAAAAAAATCTTTAAAAAATAATAAAATTAAAATTAAAAAGGCAGAATCAAGGCTTAGGGTACAAGATATTGGAATATTAAAGCTTTCTATGCTACAACATGAATTACAGATGTGGATACTATTTATATGAAAAAAGACAGCATTAATATCCAAAATCTACCATAAAAATAAAGTTATTCTAAGATAAAATTGAGCATATGTGATTTTTAAAGTTGTTTTAAGTAGAAAAAAATTATAAAAAGATGAGCACTCTGCAAGCATTCTCTTTTGATACAAAATTTAAATCTAGTAGAAAACAAATCACCTATAAATTTATAATTCATTGATCACCATTGTTTACACATTGGTGTATTTATATCTAGACTTTGTTTTCTCTGCCTAAATACTTACACAATATACTACATACATGTTTTTTCTGTTTTTATTACAAAATTATAATCATACTCTCTATATAAAGCTTTACGTACTACTCTTTTCATTTAACGAATGTTCCCGTGTCATTAAAAATAAATGGAAACATGTTTTTGGCACTACAATATTTCAAATTATGTATACACCATAATTTGGCATTAGACTATTTCCAGTTTTTCATTATTATTAAAATGCCATAGTGATTATTTTTATATATAAATCTTTGAATCTGATCACCTTCTGGAAAGAAGTACCTAGGGGCGCCTTGGTGGCACAGTCAGTTGAGTGACTGACTCTTGGTTTTGGCTCAGATCCTGATCTGAGGGTCATGAGACAGAGCCCCAAGTGGGGCTCTGCACTCAGCATGGAGTCTGCTTGAGTTTCTGTCTCCCTCTCCCTCTGCCCCTCTCTACTGAGTGTTCTCTCTCTCTAATAAATAAATAATCTTTAAAAAAAAAAATCTAGAAGTATGATTTCTAAGCTAAGGAATCTAAACATTTTTAAGAGTCCTGATATAAGATATTACTTTCCATTAAGATACTTATATGCCTCACCCATAATCCACAGTATATGACAGTGTACCTCTAAAGTATGTGTTTACATGTTTACCTCTCTAAAAAGACTATAAGCTCCTGTGCAAACTCATGTTCATGTTATAGTCATCTTTGTAACCTGGTATCTACCACATAGTAAATATTACTTAAATGGCAACTGAATTACAGCACAGTGGCAAAACTGTACTCTCTGGGTGAAAAAGAATGAGAAATTCTCACTGGGAACATACTGTCCTACCTCTGTTGCTGAAGCAAAGGAATCAGTTGATGCAACACTCAAGGAGTCTCGCAGGCCAAATTCATCCATACTCCCCTTCATGGTGGTATCTGTATTTTTATCTTAAAAGTAAAAGAAGAAAAGTTAAGAAATTGATATTCCTTGTCACTGACATTCTATAGTAGGTCTGGTCTTGTCTTTCTTTCTTTCTTTTCTTTTTCTGTCCTTCTTTCTCTTTCTTTCTTTCTTTTCTGTCTTTCTGTCTTTATTTAGACTGGAACCTAAAAGAAAAACAGTAAATACAAACCAATGGGATATAATCTGATAAGATTCTCAAAGTGTATTCATTGTTTAACTGATTCTGAAACACTGCCAAGCAGAGGAGAAAGTACTATAAAGCAGACATTTTTTACTTTAAAAAGGGATTAAACTTAATATCAGATTTAACAAGCTTTTGGATATGTAATAATTTAAACTGGTATATAACTAGAGTTGGATTATCTGCCATACATTGTAAAATCAGCATATACCAGAGAAGTCTGAAACAGAGCAAATTAGTTGCAAGTGACCTTGCCCAAACCATGAGAACGAGTAGGTTCATTCAAATTCAATAAATTATTAACATAAAATGTTGTCTGGCCAGTAACTTGTGATAAACTGATTAAAACTATTCAAGAAGGTATCTCTAGGGGTGCCTGGTGGTTCACTGGTTAAGCCTGGGTGGTTCATTGGTTAAGCAGCTGACTCCTGGTTTTGGCTCAGGTCATGATCCCAGGTCCTAGGATCAAGCCCCAAGTCGGGTTCTGTGCTCAGCAGGGAGTCTGCTATGGATGCTCTCTCCCTCTCCCTCTGCTCATTCTCTCTCTCATATATATCTGTATGTCTATATAGATATATATATCTGTATGTCTATATAGATATATATATCTATATGTGCATATAGATATATATATATATATATTTGTTCTTCAGTCCTTAAGACTTACTTTAAAACACTGAAAGGCCAAAAACAATCAGAGCTAGGTCCCCGATGTTTGCTCTGGCTACTTGAGGGTCAAATATAACCATCCCAATGATTATAAGGGCTGAAAAAATTTAAATATTTTGGCAAATGGTTTATCTAGCCATGCCAAGACAGTCTACCTATTAACATATGCAACATTCTGAATGTGGGTATCAAATCTTCACATACTATCATCGGGAATCTGTTAACATTGAGTTTTCAAATAAATACTGAACTTGCTTACAGATGTGTCTACATTGTAGCAAACAACTGATATCCTTTAAAATTTATCACAAGTATGAAAAAGCAAAGAACAAAATACATACTAATTTTTCTTACTGACCCTCAATCTGCTAAATTTGTCAGATACTTTATCTTCTTTAAAAAGGAACCAGAGGGGTGCCTGGGGCTCAGTAGTTAAGCATCTGCCTTTGGCTCAGACCATGATCGCCGGCTCCTGGGATCGAGCCCTGCATCAGGCTCCCTGCTTGGCAGGAAGCCTGCTTCTCCCTCTCCCACTCCCCCTGCTTGTGTTCCCTTTCTCACTGTCTCTCTCTCTGTCAAATAAATAAATAAATAAAATCTTAAAAAAAAATAAATTAAGAAAAATAAAAAGGAACCAGAAATCTCTTTGGCTTTCATTCATCCAAATTTCTATTCCATCATCATTTTTCCCAAAATAAAGTTCATTAACTTTACCAGGAATTTTCCAAGTCCTATTTAAAACCCTCAAGTACCAGAAAACATGGACATTTGTGATTCTATACAGGAAATGTAGAGGTTTTTTTTTTTAATGCAAACCATTAATTTAGTTTAAACTCAAGTTTTGCAACCAATTTATATTCCACACTGTAAGCCAAGCAGAAAAGCAAGTAAGCCATAACTGGTACAAAGTTCATTCCTACTAGGTACTGAAAATAAATATACACGTATTTTTCCCCCTACTTTATATTTAGGAGGCCTACATTTGACAATTCAACCATTTATCTTCCAAGTTTAAATTATAATTGTTTCCAGGGTTCCAGGGGTGCCTGGGTGGCTCAGTCGTTAAGCGTCTGCCTTCGGCTCAGGTCATGATCCCAGGGTCCTGGGATTGAGCCCCACATTGGGCTCCTGCTCCGCGGGAAGCCTGCTTCTCCTTCTCCCACTCCCCCTGCTTGTGTTCCCTCTCTCGCTGTATCTCTGTCAAATAAATAAATTTTAAAAAATCTTTTAAAAAAATTGTAATTGTTTCCAGATGAAGGTTACATGAATCCTTTTAAAGTACCTACTTTCACAGCTTAAAACCCTTGTACCACTAAATGAGTATTAATGGAACAAAATCAGAAGTAATTATAAGTAAATTATTCTATTTTCAAAAATATATGTTCTTTTAGAAATTAAATTTTTCATTGAACTTGAGAACGAAACAACATAATTGGTTTTATGCTCATAAACAACTATAATAAGATTGGTATTTTTGGACATTCAATTACCCAGAAAAATTCCCATTATTTTCTTTTCAGTGCACACATGATTTTTTAAAATGCACACACAAACTTTGAGAGATAAACCATTTACAAAAGTGAACTGGCATTTACAACTTTCAAACCTTTATCTTATTTTTCCATTGTTAATATTAATTGTGCAAAATGAAGTCACAGTACAATTTTCATTATGCCAAACCACTTTTAAAGCAGGATTAAATTACAAGTCAATTAAGTTAAATCTTGGTTCCATATGACTTTTGCTATTTTCAGAGTGGAACACAGACATTTATCTTATGTCACTTTACCTTTCAGACATTACCCATGAGCTATTAAAAGTCTGTTTTACTTCACTCAACAGACCAGCTAGTACTTTACTCAAAAAAAACCAAAACAAAACAAAACAAAAAAAACACAACACCCTAACAAAGAAAAATGGCTCAGAGGAACTGGAAAGATTTATTCATTAAATATACTTTTGTAAACCACAGACCATACCTCTCATTTCAGTAATTGTTATGAGTCCTGGAATGGCAGCTTAAATTATGAAGAGAAATAATATATCTACTTTTTAGATAAGCCAATAAAAATTATAAAGAAAGAATACTGAGTAATATCTCAAACTACCTGCTTTCATGAATCAAATTAAATTTTAAAATACTCTTTCTAAAAAGTATAAATTCTTGATTGTGGTACTGAAAGAAAGGGACAGCATGGAAAACTGAAAACTAATGGCTTCATGTTAGTCAATATTTTCAGAAACATCTTACCAAATTTTTCTTAGCAGAAAAACACAAAAACCACATTATCATTACACACCTAACAGAATAATATAAATTGGAAAAAATGGCAATTTTTTTTTTGTTGTTGTTAAGGATGTACAGCAATGGAAACTCACATACCCCTGGTAGAAATGTCAATCAGTAGAATCACTTTGGAGAGTTTGGCAGTACCTCTGAAAGTTCAAGACTGCATTTTCTGTGATTAGCAATTCTATCCTTAGGTGTTTTTTACAGAAATACATGGTTATATATGCAAAAGAATGTTGGTAAAAACACTGCTTATAACAGCCCCAAACTAGAAAAAAAAACAACAACACAATTGTCCATCTACCATAGAATACACAAACGGGTATATTCAAACAACGAAATACCATACAACAATAAAAGTGAATGAATTCCTGCTATATGCAAGAATAAGGATGAATTTCACATGTTGAGTGAAGAATTATATGTATAATTTCATTCATATAAAATCCAAAACAAGCAAAATTAAACTACAGTGATCAGGACTACATTTAGTTGATCAAACTGTAAGAAAAGCCAGGAGGTAATTAGCATGAGCATCAGGACAGTGGTTAGTCTTAGGTGTGTGGGGGAGGGGTGTCGACTGGGACCAGGTATAAGGGGACCTTCTAGGGAGTTGTCAATGTTTTACTTTATTTTATTTTTTTAAAGATTTTATTTTGGGGCGCCTGGGTGGTTCAGTCGGTTAAGCAACTGCCTTCCGCTCAGGTCATGATCCTAAGACACACTGGGATCCTGCATCAGGCTCCCTGCTCAGCGGGGAGTCTGCTTCTCTCCCCTCTCTGTCTACCCCTCCCCCTGCTCATGCTTTCTCTCTCTCAAATAAATAAAATCATTAAAATTAAATAGATTTTATTTTATTTTTAAAGATTTTATTTATTTGACAGAGCACAAGCAGGAGGAGCAGCGGAGGGAGAGGGAGAAGCAGACTCCCCGCTGAGCAGGGAGCCCGATGCAAGACTGGATCCCAGGGCCTTGGGATCATGACCTCAGTGGAAGACAGAGGCTTAACCAACTGAACCACCCAGGTGACCCAAAGATTTTATTTTTTAATTAGTCTCTATACCCACTGTGGGTGGGGCTCAAACTCACAAACCTGAGATCAAGAGTCGCATGCTCCACCAACTGAGCCAGCCAGGTGCTCTGGCAGTTTTATTTTTTAAAGTATTTTTTTAAAGATATTATTTATTTATATGAAAGAAAAAGAAAAAGAGAGAGCATGAACAGGGGGAGGGGCAAATAGAGAGGGAGAAGCAAACTCTCCACTGAGCAGGGAGCCCTGGAGCCCAATGTAGGGCTGGATCCTAGGACCTCGAGGTCAGATGCTTAACCCACTGAGCCACCCAGGCTCCCCTGCAGTGCTTTATTTTTTGATCTACATGATAGTTACACAAGAGAGTGGGATAAATCACTATGCTTTTTTGTTTTGTGCACTTTCCTCTAAGGGTTTACACAGAAGCAAAGAAAACAATGTATCTTTATATCTTGCCCCCAAATGGCTGAAAGCAGAAAAGACAATGAAGTATTTCAGTGTTGGCAGTAAAGCTATAAATTATTAGACATACATTTTATTCCCGGATACAGGAAGTACCTATAATGATGCCAAGTTCAAAAAGTCAAAAGATCTGATGAGTCTGTTAAGTATAATAGCAAATTGAAAATAATTTATCTGTACCCCATAGTGGAATACAAGTACTTGTGGGAGACTCAAATTCCACGCAGCTACCACTCACAACCTTTCTCCTCCTGGCTTATCAATATTTCTTTGCTATTTAATGATTGGTTTAGAATTTTAAGTGGGAATGTTCTGGTGGGAATAATTAACTATTTGCAGGAAGAAGACATGG